TGGTTTATTTTTTTTTATTAAATGAGAATTTTTTTTCTTTTTGCGAGAAATTGCGTCATTGCTTCTCTTTTTAAATTTTTTTAAAGTTTTATCCCAGACAGACATATTATCTTATTAATAATATTAGTCTAAGAAAAATCTCAAATTCTTGCAGAAAAAATAACATACAGAAACGAAACGAAAAAAAAAGAACATGCACAAAAAGAAAACAATAAAAAAATATATTGTCAATTCTCATATGTACAATAAAATCTACTTATTATATCGTATTCGTATTGTATAAATGTATACCGATTTTCTGCACAACTTATTAATTTTTCTTTTATTCTCATAAGTTGGATAAATCTTAGCTTACTAGACAGCATAAGGAATTACATGTGGATATAGTATAATGATCTTAATACATATTGCTGTTGATTGTTATAATGCAATTATACGTTTTCTGCAAAATTAAATCAGAAAGGAAATTAGTGCTTGAATCATAAAATGAATACTTAAAGAAGAGAATACAGTGAAATATTTCTATTATTTTGTTTTATTATTGTTTTTATTTATGAGCTTAAACTTAAATAACCAAAATGGTTCTACGTTATTTTTATGCACTTACATATATTTATCTTATATTAGAAGAGAAAAGATATTTATGTGAAATGCATCTTTATATTTATACATGTTGAGTAATTAACTTAAAATTTTTAAAGATTCACATTTATATATATTGTACTCGTATAAATACGGTAAATAAAATAACGCAATAGAAAACAACAAAAAAAAATCAATATGTTATACTGTATAAATTCAATATCATTCATTTTGTTCAAACATGAAGTGAACTTAAATTTATAGTTTCTTACAAGAACAGTACTCCTTCCTCCATACATGATGAATGCGTGCAGTAACACTTCTTACATACATTTTGAATGTGTAAATAAAATTATTAAGCAAAAAGATGTTTTTCTATACAAATGTCGTGCTTCATTCTACATACTTTTTTTTGGCATACATAATGCTTGCAAAGTACGATATTATAACATGTTAGCAGGGCAGCGTTTACATGTCTATCAAAGATTGATAATCATGATTGAGATGAATGCAGATTGTTGAGAATTTACGTTTATCAATATTTCTATATGCACTTTAAATTTGAAAATTAAAAAAAATGTCGCTATAAATTTAAAAAAATGTCAAATGACAAATCGCAACAATAGAAAAAAACGTTAGAACAGTTGATCATAGTCCATTTTGTTCAACAATTAAGGATCAATTTCTCATAGCCGTTTGTTAAAACCCATATATCATAGCCCATTTTGTTAAAATAGGATCAATTTCTCCTTTTTTATCAATCAAAAGTTCGATTGAAAATGACTGATTGATTATGTTTCCGTGGTCAATCTTTATTACTCTCAACATAATTGTAAAACTTTGATTGACATGTAAACAGTGAAAAAGATTTAAGTTGAAAGCAGAACAAGGACAATTTTCCGCGGCGAAAAATTTAAGTACCGGATTTTTGTACCGGATTTAAGTACCGGATGTTTTGTTTTTACACTTAAATATATAGAAAATATCGTGCATATGATAACAATTTAGAGCAAATAACTACTGGAAAAAGGTAGTTTTTCGGTTGCATAAAACCGATTAATATTTTTTATTTTATTCATAATATTAGTGCAGTTTGTAAATAAAAAATTATAAAATATGTATTTAATTATATGTGTTAGAAAAGATTATTTGACCAAAACTAATAAAAAAATATAACAAGTGAAAAAAAGAAAAAAATCTGTTGAAAAAGAAAAAGGTGTATAGTTCTAAATTGTTACTCCCATTTGTAAAAACAAATACATAGTTTTATTGCAACATATACATGTGAATATTATTCATTGCAATAATTAAAAGAAATATTTATTCAATAGTACTTTGATTAATTCATAATTTCTAATTTTATTAAGTTTTTATTTTTGCAAAGAAAACATATGTTTTTGTTTTAAATTAAAATTACTTCGGATGCCATAACTTTGCCGGAATCGGATTTAATAGGACCAGATTTTTTTTAAGCAAAATTAATTTGTGTTTGATAAAAAATAACATACATATAATATTTTAATTTGGTCTTTCTTTTTTATTCAATTACAGTTTTCCTACAAGTAATGAAATGAAAAGAAAGTGGATTGGAATTATTAATAAAGAAGTTTGCATTTCAAATATTTTGCCAAATTTTTAATTTTATCAATCATAAAATAAACTTATTCAAAAAGAAAACAAAAATAATGAGTTTTGTTTAAATTTGATTTTTTTTTACAGATACTTATTTAAAATGAAAAAATATTTTGTAACATTTTTTAGTTTTTACTTTAAAAAAAATTTAACTTATTCTGCTTAAAAATTACAAATATTTTATAGTAGAGGTCAAATAAGAAAATAAAATAAATACGCTCCGACTTTGGCAATGCTCGGAGCAAAGAGAGAGCCAACTAGAAAAAATATGGCTTTATTGTTTTATTCAAAATGATCATTTCTTTAGTACAGCAATCCCTCCTATAACGTAATTTTTGGGACCGAAAAATTTTTACGTTAAGTGAAATTACATTATAGGAGGTCCAACTAAACTAATATGACTAATATGTATGTACATGCATATGTATGTAAAGAAAGAAATTTAAATGAAAAAAAAAAATAGATTATTACATATTAAATTATTTTAAAATTACGTAAAACAAGGTAAAAATTACATTAAGTGAAAATAGGTAGGAAAAATAAAATTTACATATATCGAAATTATATAGTAAGAGGTTACGTTATAGGAGGGATTGCTGTATTTCTAATTCGTTGGCAATGCCGATATATTTTGACATTTTTGAACACTTTTTAAATCGTATGTTATATATGTATATATGTATATATTTTGACGCTTATTTTGAAAAGGTTTTGCTTAAAATCATTCGAATTATTAAGTAGTTATTGAAAATCTATTTAAAAACAACTTTAATTTCGATTGTTAAGTTTTGAAAATTTTTATATACTTAATTATATCGGAAACATTAATCTGAGACATCTAAAAATATTAATATGGTTCAATTTTCACTTTTTTTAGTTGATGCGTTATTAAAAACAATATTGATTTAAAATAAAAAATTTATTATTTCTCAGCAATCATTTTAAAAACTTTGCATCAATACAAAATCATAAAAAAATGTATGCTCTTTTTTTTAACATTTTTGTACGTCAAACATCTTATTGATGCATTTTCGCACATGATTTTTAGTTGATTTTAATCGATGCTGCATCGATTACTTTCGATTAAGGTGGCTCTTCTAAAGGGGTTAGAAAATCAGGCAATTTTTTGCTATATGGACGAAGAAATCCAAGATGAATGAAATATAGTATAAACATGAACCTTTAGATGTTTATATTAGTAGAAAAGAGGATTATTGACCAATATAGAAAGAGCGTTAGAATTGTAAAGAAAGGATGTGGCTCATCAAAGTATTCCAAATGAATAGTACGAGTACATACAAATCCAAAATAAAGGAGTTTATTTTTCATACGGCAGTGGAAATTGTAATATGTACATAGTGAATAAATTAATAAATAAACAATTTCATCATGAATATTTTTCATGCCACACGAACTGTCTGCCAGATAAAGTGATTATCTACGTAAGCATACTGTAAGAAAAAATAATTGTTCTAAAACAAATACAAAGAAAGGCACAGATTCTTTAGATAATAAAAATATAATGTGTATGGTAAATGGTACATAATCATCAATCTGAAAAACTTATCAGTAACACGCTCCGTTGCATTATATTAGCTAAGAAAAAAATTGCGAACAACATATTACTCTAGCTTCAACAGTTTCGAAGTTGCTATGGATACTTATCACACCGAATTTTTCAAATGCGATTTTTTCCTCGTAAACATGCACTAAGAAATTAAACTTGAGGTCACTACACCATTTCCGTACCACTCCGTACATTTTCATCGAAATTTTTTTTTAAAAGAAATTTTTTGTTACCTATTTTCAATTTTACTTTTCTAAACAATATATGTACATACGTACATACACTCACACATGTAAACAATTTAAACATCAATTGAAAATTTCATTGACTAGATTCATTAGATAAATATGATTTATATTTGATTGAATATCTGATTTGATTAGCGACGTGCGCAAAGTAGCCCGAGAACAAATTTGCATTGACACGAAAATGTCTTTCATTTTTAGAAGAATATCTGTATTTTACAACATTTAAATATTTTCTTAAACAGCTGTTTTGTGAAATCCCTCATGGATGTGTGTGTGCATGTATACATATGCATTCTCAATTTTATTAAGTTTAAAAAAAAGAAGCTAAAATGTAGAAAGTGTTTTTACAAAACTTTTTAATCTTACAACATAATCCATAATCATTTTTGCACCATTTTGTAAAATATGTAATTTCAACTTCTTTTTTATAAAAAATAGAAAGTTACTTTTCCCGCGAATTTCAGGTGCCAAAAATAAGCTTTGTTTTATAAAAACGTACCATCCTAACATATTGTCTTTTCGAACTACACAATGTATTTTCAGGGAAAATGAAATTTGCTAAAAATAAATTATACATATTCTTTTGATCAGCATTAAATGTAAACACAAACACGTAGGAGAAGTTCACACTGCATAATCATTTTCCACAGACATGGTTAACTTTTAGCGACGTGCGCAAAGTAGCACGAGAACAAACTTGCATTGACACGAAAATGTCTTCAATTTTTAGAAGAATTAACTTTTATTGGGATACCAAAAGTGTATTCTACTGCAAAACTAAATTAGTAAAAGATTTAACTTGTGCAAAATGGCCAAGTAAAAATTATATCAAATAGATACTGCATTAATATTCGCAAGAAGCTTCACAATCACTGGACTAAGCTTGATATTCGCCCATAGGCACCTACATGATATTATAGCTACATGCACATATTTATACTCGTTTATTTACTCATTTATTTATACTTTACCACAAAAAAATTTAAAATGTCAGTTTAGTAGGTCCCACCAGATTCTTGAATTTTTACTTTTAATTTTTAACTTACTTTTATAATTTTTTAACTTAATCAAACCCAAAATATAGCTTACAGTTAAATGTATTTACGTATGCATATACCTAGTTACACACCTGTGCATTTTTTAATAAAGGTTTGTGAATTTGTATATATGTTTACGTATATTTTATTTTCTTATAAGTGCATGTGCACTGTTTTTTGAATTTCTATTATTTCGTATGCAAATTTTTTATGTAGATATTGAACATTTTTAACATTAATTAATAACACTGTTTAATTTATGAAACCATATGTACCTGAGTACCTACGTATACGTCCATAAAATTTAGTCGGTCATTTTCGTAAAAAAATGTATAACTTACACATACATTACGTACATATGTATATAGATTAGATATTTTTATTTTTAATAAAACATAAAACTGTACATGCACAGCGCCACCATTCGGATTTTCTTTAACATTAATCTAAGTAAAATTCACAATAAGATAAATTACATGTTTGCTTCATTCATTTTATATATTTTTATAACAAAATATGTACGTATGTTTTTGTGTACAGTAGTACGACGTATATGTAAATATTTTATTTCTAGATATTCACTATTTGTAGTAAAATAAAAACTTTTTTTCTGCACGACGCAATACTCTCCGATAATAGTACACACCTACCGAATGTAAAAACACAACTAAACAAATATTTTCCTTTTCCACTATCCACAAAAGCTAAAAATGAAAAAAGAAAAAAACTTAAGAACTGTACAAGGGTTGTCACTCATAAAAAAATAATGACCCAAATATTCAAAGTAAAGAATTAAGATTAAGTAAAAAGGGCCAAACTCGATAAACTTCTTAGTTTTGTAAGTAGAACACTTATGTGTAATACAAGTTCTTTATTTTAAGTTCCACTTTTGGTAGCCGGGTTGGTTTTCTTTATTTTATTACCATAATTAAAAACACAATCTAATATTAAAATGGCCTATAGAGCAATATTAAATCTCGAATATTAACCCTTTGAGTGCGGCACAAATTTTGTGGATATATGCCAAAAATGCGGTAGTACTTGGGTATATATATCTGACCATTGGTGCAGTGGTTATGGCACCGGTCCTTTAACCGAAGGGTCTCGGGTTCAAACCCCGGTCAGGTCACTATAAAAATTATATTCAATATTATTATAACTTAATATACAATACTAATAAAAATATTATACAAGTAATTTTCAAATATTCCTAATATTCGATATTAAAAAAAAAAACTAAGAAAAATAAATAGTAAATATTAATAACCTCAAATAATTAATATATAAATAAAAACTACGGCAGGCTAGTCACCTACCTAGTTAAACCCTATGACGCTATGAAACTAGTGCATGAGAAATCATGCACTAGCCCTATGCTCCTTCTAGGAGTGAACAAAGGAAAAAAAAAAAAAAACTTGGGTATATATAAAAAAAAATTCACAAACGTTACTTCTTTGAAAGCATGAAGCCCTCTTTTACAAATAGAGCAAATTATAGAGCGAGCTATAGAGCGGCGACTGTATAAATAATGGTTACTGTATAACGATAAAAAAAAAAAACAAAAAAAAATGTTATATTGTACGAAAAAACTGTACATACCGCTAATGTAACCAAAATGATACAATAAATACGAGCGCTTTCACTGCAATTTTGGCATAAAGCAAAAGGAGCGCTATCGCGCTTCCCGCAGTTTTGGCATATAACAAGAGGAGCTCTTTCGCGCTCCTCCGCACTCAAACGGTTAAAAACATTATACACAATCTCAGAATTCATTTTAAGGTCTTGCTACATTTTTATAGTCAAATATTATTAAAAAAACTTTCACAAAGGAGACAATAGCTTTTTTAAGGAATTTAAGTGGAAAAAAAACAACTAAATCTTAAGAAAACAAGCCTGCTACACTTAGTTCCAATATTTAGAACAGAAGATCTGCTAGAATGTCTTAAAAGGTGGGAAATTAGGTTGCTTTTTTACGGTTTTGTATGTAAAATTGACGGTTTAAGTGATTAAATTAATTATGAGACTAAGTGTAGGTGACTGTAGGAACCAGTACAATTTTAAAAGAGGAAAATGAACCACTTTTGGCCAATTTTGACCGAAGTGGCAATAGTGTGGTAATAGTAGTATAGTTGTAAAACAGAGAAATGTAATATGAAAATTGACAGGGATAGAAAATGTGATTCTAAATTACAAAAAGTGATGTTGTAATACTTTCAGTTCAAGTTTTAGACTTTTGACATTTAACATTTCATATTATTATATCTCAGCCATTCCTATAAACACGGCCAATTTTTTGTAATGTCAAACCGTGAAAATTTCCATATACATAAACCGTGTCAAAACCGTGAAAATTTCCATATACATAATTTAACTAACACTCTTTCAATGCAATGCAGTGCTATGCTAAGTTGAATTTTATTTCGTGTTTTGCCATGAAATCCTGCTTACGGGTTTGCACTTTGTTATTTCTTCATCCTTTATGTAGATAAATAGTACATGTATTCATTTTAATATAATGCAAAAATATACTGAATTTTGCTCATTTTAAAAATTTGAAATTAAAAAAAATAGTTAATTCACTATAAAAACCAAAAGTTGGTGTTTATTGGAATTAATAGGAATTAAATATAATACTCACATTATAAACGGTTGAAAAGAAAAATAAATGCGGAAATGATTTGCCTTAATCTTTGAAAATTACAAATTTTGACTCTTTCAAACGCATAATCGAATTTAGTACCTGTTATATGTATGTATGTACATATGTATTTAATCGCGCTCATTGTGAAGTTGCTCAGTTTTTTATTGCAGAGGCTTTTACGGGTTTCTTAACACGCTTTCTAAGCAAATCAATACATTTCTTATCGAAATCTTGTTTTAATTTGATTTTAGTTTGATTTTTTAAGGAAAATTTTTAGTAATCAATGTATTACTTTTACTTCTAATGGAAAAACAATACATATACATATGTTATGTATATACATTATGTAGTTTTCAAAACTAGAACAAAGAAGCTTTTAAAGCTTCATGTACAATATAAATGTTGAACTTTTAAACCTTCTCATCTCTGACTTTATATCAAATCCGAAAGTAAATTCACGCTTTAAATTGTATAATCTTTTTACTTTTAGCTAAAAAATAAAAACAAATAACAATATATTTTTTAAAACTAAATTTATTCTTTAATTTTATATCAAATTAACTTTATTTTTTTAATTAATATTTTTCGAAGCAACACAAAAGTCCTTAGAAGATATTTATTTTAACTTTTTACTGCTAAGAAGCTATTGAAAATTCTAGAAACAAATACTTTTATTAACTAGAGTATATTTTAAGATATTAAGCCTACATTTTTTTAGGATATCAAAAACAAAATTGAAAAATAGTTCAAATATTTTTCATAAAGGGATTAGACACATACATAGTTAAATAAAAATTAAGTCTAATTGAAAAAAATTAGTGAAAGTGTTAAATAACTGCAGTACATTAGATGTACTGAAAATATTAAATATACTGCAATTTCAATATGTAATTTAAAACTAAAACTGAAACTAGAAATTAAGTCCCTATAAGTTAGCGAAGAGGGGTGAATTCGAAATAATTCTCATTATTTAACCCGTTTTGCCAGTATATCACCAGTTAAGGCATTAGGCGGAGCTGTTCTTTTCATTAATCCGTGAGGCGAAGGAGTACTACCAGTTGTTGCTGGTGTTACTGAATCAACTAACCATCTAACTTGTATAGCTGGACCAACACCTTTGGCATTTTTAGCTGTAATTCTGAACAAAATTGTTGGTTTCGGTGTCTTATCAATGTATGCATCTTCAATTAATTTATTTGATACAATACAACTATTCGATGCTCCTGAGTAAACTTTTGTAAAAGATAATTGCAGTTTTGAATCGACGACAACTTGATTAGTCTTCATTGCCAAATAGACGACGTACTCTAAAATATCTTGTTCCTGTGTATCACTTGGCGATTTCCATGTTAAATGTGCCCCAGTCGCCAGTTTTGTAATTTTTACAGATGATGGAGCACCAGGAAAACCAGGACTATACGTACGTAAATTGACTGATTCGCTCCACGATCCACAACCAATTTCGTTAATGGCACATATTCTAATTTTATATGTTGTTCCGGCTTCTAATGTTTCCCGTTCTAAATCTGCTAAAGATGGCAAATTTTCCGCACTAATATTTGTGTTAACATTATTCAGATTCCATGTCGCACTATTAATAAAATCTTTGATTGAATGTGATGTTCCTTTCACAAAACCCACAGTATGCCATTTTAAATTCTCTTCATATTGTTCTTGATTAAATAATTTAATTTCCTTTTTTTTCAAGTCCTCTGCATCTGAACATTTATTCAAACATGAAGTGCTTTCAACATTTTTTTCAGCGCTAGTTGGAAGATTTTCATTTGTTGTACTGTTAATGTTATTGTTTGAAGATGTGTTACTTTCTGACGCATTATTTACATTATCGTCATTCGTTTTGGAATTACCAGCACCACCAAACAAACCCATCTTGACGTAACGGGGAATCATTTTTGATAATTTATTTTGATGTTTCTGAAATCTATCTTTAAATTTAAAATCAGTTTTTATAAGGGATATAGTTCCATTATCATTCAAAATTTCTTCAATTTCATTATTTTCGGCACTTGTCATGAGCTCGCTATCTTTTTCTGTATAACTAGTTCCGTCAAGTTGCTCAATATTATTTGAAACAGAGGTGTCATCGAAAGACTGGTTTGTTGTTAATATTTGTCTACTTGGTAATGTTAATACCCTGGCTGACTGAATTTGTGCTGAATTTTGTTGTGAAGTTTGTGCAGTTACTTGTGCACTATTTAAAAGTTTAAAAGTGTTTTCCCCCGTCATTTGAACAACCATTTGTTTACCTCCTAAGGTGATGGTTGTTGTTTGGGGAACTTGTTGGGTGCTGCTAGTGGCAATGACTTGCCCAATATTTGCGTTTCCTGTAATTACAAATTTCATTTAAATTTATTTCAATATGTGGTTTAAAAAATTACCTTGCACCCTGATTTGTTGACCTGAACCGCCTAAACTTGTAACCAATCGTGCTGTGTTTACACCTGATGCACCCGAAGAGGGAACTATAGAGACAATTTTGTTGCCAATATTTGTAGCCATGGTTTGATTTACAATATTAGAAGCTGGCATGCTCCCTGAAGTGCTTACTAGTACAAATTTTTGAGGAGCTGAATGCGTAGCATTTGTTTGTATTGTCTGAACTTGACCTTGAGGATTCATAAAAACAAGTTTTGGCTTATTTTGTTGTTGTTGCAATTGCCCTTGTTGAATGTTTCCCAATTTTATAGGAGTTTGTTGATTAATTAAAACAGTTTTGCCACCAATAGTTGCTAATTGTTGCGGTAGAATTTTGACAATCTTTTGTCCACCACTTCCCGGCAAAGTAGTTGTTCCACTAGTTGAAATATTTTGCGGTAAAATTTTAACAATGTTTTTAGTTCCTTGTACAGATGTTCCTGTATTTAAAACCTGAACGCCACCTGCAAGTAGTTTCGGACCTGGTTGACTTACTTGAACGACTCCCGAGGCCCCTGAAGTTCCTGGTAAGGTTTTCAAAACCATTCCAGGTTTAAGTACTGTATATTTGACATTTTGCCCAGTAATTGTTAAAGGTTTTCCAGCGATATTACCACTTGTTATATGCTTTGCAACACTTTGCTGTTGATTTACTGCAGTAGCGGATGTAGAACTTACTAAGTTAGATGTTTTGATACCAGCACTTGGAACAACAATGCTGCTAACCGATTTGACAACTGCGCTGAAGGGTGCTTGAGTGACGGCAGAGGGCGCTGATGGAGTAACAGTGGATTTGGGATTAAGCTGTATTTGCTGTGGTTTTGATATTTCGGTGGTAGAATCAGCTGTAGTACTTACTACAGAAGGAGACATTGACTGGGTCAATATTTGCGATTTAGGCGTCTGTGTTTTTTGAAGTAATGTTGTGGATGATGTTGTGCTACTCACTTCCCGTTTGGGCGATAATTCAGCAGATAAAGCGGCAGCATTTGTTTGAGGTGTTTGTTCGCCATCCAAAATTGGTAATCTCTTCTTTTCTGTTTCTAGTTTTTGAATTTGTATAAAATAGGCTGCAGAAAATGGTACCTCGGCCCAGCTTATTTCAAATGAATTATTGGATACACGATTCACTGTTACTTTTGGAGCTGTTTGAGGTACATCAACTTCAAGATACCAGAGGTCTTTGCAACAAACCTGATTATTCCATGCTTTACGATAACCATCTCGCCCAGACCAGATAAATAGTCTTCCATTAACATTCGCTGCTGAATGACCAGCCCTAGATTTTGGAATTTGCTCTTCATCACCTATTGAGTATATTACGTGTAAAACTTATTAAATGTAATATGTAAAACTTACCTTGTATATTTGAATAATCTTCCCAAATCAGACTTTCCAAATTCAATGCTGCTAAAGAATTAGTACACTTCCACTCATGCGTAGCAAGTTCACTATCATTAACAATTAGCGGAATCCATCCACCGAAAACATACATCTTATTCCCGATAATGGTTGACGTATGTAATGACCTAGGTAAAGGGGCAATACCAGTTGTACTTGGTTGTGTCCACGTCATTGTTTCTGTATTTAAAAACCATAAGTCACCTAAACGACATCCGCTCATTCCACCGTATATAACAAGCGTATTTTGGTTTGCTTTTTTCGAAATATATGCTACGCCAGTATGAGATTCGCGCGGGGAGGGTTGATCACCATGAGTTTGCGGTATGTTCCAAACACCGTCTCCTTCAACATTACGAATTTGTAAAGTATATAGATCATTCATGTATCGGGGAATATTATTTTTTGGATCATTTGTTTCGTTTGCAAGTCCACCAAACAAAAATATCCTATTATCAACCAAAGTGAAGCTGTGACCAAGTCGTGGACACGGAACTTCTCCATTTTCAGGAGGATCAGGATCCAAACGTTTCCATTCCCACTTGGATGCATCTAAACGGTACAAAGCATTAGAATACTTTGCATATTCAATCATGCCGCCAAAAACATAAATTTTCGTTCCATCGACTACCAAACCTAAAATATTGACAAATATAAGCTAGATACTAACACTTGATTAAAAATCGAAAAATAGTTTTTACCATATGCTGCACAACCTGGTGGAACATCTCCTTTCATAGCCGGAACTATCCACTGATTTGAACTTGTATTATAAACATGAAATTCATCAACTATTCCCTCGTTGCCGCCACCAAATATTAGTATTAAATCTTTTATATTAACTGCCCTATGTCCATGTCTGGGACGCGGTTGAGGCCCTTTCGAATCCGTTATCCTTTTCCATACAACTTTCCGTACAATATTCTCTGTTTTTAACGTCATTTTTCCACAAATTATTTTATCATTAAAAAATATATAAGCTAACTTCTCTTCTTTTAATTTATATACTTATTTAATACGAAATTGATAACCTGTTGATGATTTTTTCACTTTGGGAACAAATATGGAAGCCACTCTGTCACAGCTAATCTAAAATTTCAGACCAAAAATGTCAAAGCAAATTAGACGCCTCAACTTTCACAATTTCGTTTTTGAATTATATCAAGCTAGGCGTTAGTTCTTTATTTAAATCCAATTTATTGCAACTTAAACAATTTTTACTTATTTTTTTTTATTTTAAGTTTATATTAATTTTTTTTAATTATTAAAATTGCGAAAATTCTCCGATTCCGGTTGTTTTGTTTTAATGCCGATACTCCGAAAATATTTTTCGGATTTAAATGTCAGGAAACGTCAATTTATAAGCCCAGCAAACAAAGCTGAATATTTGTATCATTATCAGTATACCTACACCTCAAAACTTCCTGCAAAGTAGAAGAACAAACTACTAACCCAGCATTTACACATACAAGTTACTTGCATGCAAGTTTGTATAATATTAATTGTCAATTAGTTTTTCGAAATGTCAAATTACTTGCTATTATGACGTAGGCGTTTAGCAAGTTAATTTTTGAAAATGTCTTTGAGAAGAAAACAACTAGCAATATATATAATTGTTTATAAATTTTAGAAACCATAAGTTTGCTAAGTTTAATTTTTTCAAAACAAAATTCAAAAATTTTAAATTAAAAAAAAAAAAAAATCAAAACAACAAATTTTTTTTGTGAATTTCTCAATATGTCAAATTACTTGCTTAAATTACTGGCAGCAAAATTTTCTTGCAAGTTGAACTGCAAGTTAACAAGCAAGTAAAAATATTTCAATGTGTTAGTAAAATTTTTGTATGTATTGCAACTTTCTTGCAAGTAACTTGTACGTGTAAATGCTGGGTAAGTGCCAGTGTGCAAAATGATATTCTCTTTCATATATATCTTCTAGGTATAACGAAAATCGTTTTCGAATGGTGTACTTACTGCACAGATTGACAGCAATTTTTGTTTGCGATTCGAATAAATAAGAATAATATTCTCCTTCAGAATAAATAAAAATACCATTTTTTTAACCAACAAATTAGAAATACTCAAGGAAGGATCATCTTGAAAAAACAAAGAAGCCAAATTTTTTTAGTTGTGTCTTTCAATGCTCCCAGCATTGTCAAAGTCGTAACAAAAGCATATTTACTTTAGTTTTTTATCTGGAAAGCGTATTTCGTTTAGCTTAGAATAAGTTAAAAATTTTTTTAAAGTAAAAACTAAAAAATATTTCAAAATATTTTTTCATTTTAAATATCTGTAAAAAAAATCAAATTTAAACAAAACTCATTATTTTTTTCTCTTTGAATAAATTCATTTTATGATTTATAAAATTATAAATTTTTGCAAAATTCTTGAAATGCTTCTTAATTAATAATTCCAATCCACTTTCTTTTTATTTCATTACTTCTAGAAAAACTGTAATTATATAAAAAAAAATACCAAATTAAAATATTGTATGTGCGCTATATTTTATCCAAAGTATATCTATTAATAAGTAGTTCGGCTCGTTCCATTCCGTTAGTTTTCGTTTGCATTTTGCTTCCAAATTCTTAAAATATACCATTTTTTATTATTTAGAAATAGGTGATAATAAGAGATGTGTAGAGAAGAAAGAAACAAAACAAATGATTGTATGACAACAACATTGAACTGAAATAAAACTAAACTAAGTTAGGTAAAAATTTTGTTATTTTTAAATTTGATATCAAATTTTCTTTTTCATATTTTATTTTTCATTTGATAAAAGTTAGATAAAAATATTGGAATGTATCAAAGTAATAATTATAAAGTTAAAATTTCATACTGACTCTTTGTTATACAGTATATACCTATTCAAGGTAGATACACAATATGATGTAGTAATATGTATATACCCCGTTTATATGGCTGCTTGAAACTTATTAAGAACAAGACTTGAAATTTAATAATGATTTGAAATTTAATAGCTAAACGTCGTTTTCTGGCTTTTAAGCTAAAATAGTAAAAACGCAGCTTAAGTTCACATCAAGCCGCAATGTAGACGTGGCATAGAAATTAAGAAATACATAAAAAAAATTCCTATTGCCGATACGCGTATATGTATGTATATTCATAAGAAATATTTGTTTTAAATTTTTAAAACAAAATTGAAATAAAAATAAAAAATTCATAGTTTATATTATAATAAATGTAATGCAAATTACTAATTACAAATTTTAAGTTTTTTGCTAATATTATTTGTCTTTTTCAAATTATATGCATATAATATGTAAATTATAATTTTATTAATTAGTTTAATTGTCAAATTTTGTTTTTAAATCGGTTCGTTTTTATAATATGGATACACCGTTACTGCCACCTTCACTGGAATAAGTTAAAGAAATAAAACTCGCGCTTTTAAAAATAAATTATTAAAAAACAGGTAGACACCTACTGCGTACTTTTTCCTCTCCCAAAAATTCTTATGTGTATAAAAATGAAAATAACAAGGTATTCTGCTTAAGTCTTTTAGCTAAGGGAATTTTTTGTATACAAATATTGGTGAGTGATTGCATTAGTGTGATGTAAACGGATACAATTGAAGTCGACGAACTACTTGTTAATAGATATACTTTGGGATACTGCTTTCAAACATTCTTGATAGAACGTCGCGCAAATTGGTTTCCATTTTAAAGTTTTGATTTGAAACTCCAAATAATTTAAGTAATAATTAAAAACAAACCTTTCCATGTATCTTTTAAACTGTGTTTTGTGAGAAAGACGACTTTTTTATGAGAAAATGATTTTGGTGGTTAAGTAGTCTAGAAGAATCAAAAAGTGAGAACACAGTTGTTTTAAAATTTTGGACGAAAAATGTTTTTTGCATTGCCAGTCTATTAAATTAGTCATAACGTATATTAGACATTTTCTAATATACGTTAGTTAGGCTACTAGTGTGCAACTCTTTTTACTTTTTGACATTTGCCTTGTCCGTTATATGTAATTTTTTTTTAGTTTTGATATTTATTGTAAATAGGCATTTTTATTGACGGAGTAAAGTAGCTTTAGCTCTACGGGGCAGTAGTTCTAAGTATATAAGATAAGAGTTAAGGTACTTTTAATTTAAAATTTGATAATTGTTCGAAATGATCACAGACTTTGCATTAATATATAACAATTTCTTGCAAAAAAATTAAACACATTAGAAACACAAATACTTTCGGGTAAACGAATTTTCGTCGTTAATTTCAAATATAAGAGTGAATCTGATGAGAATTGAGTAATTTCTATTATTTGCCGCAAGACAAAATCCGAAGTCAAAAAAGATCAGACATATACGACCTTCATCAGATTCAGCTTAAATCGTAGATTTTGTCGTATATGTAAACAGTATCTTAGCAGTAAGTATGGGTTTCAAACATGAACTCTACCATACTTGTGTATCAAGTAGCACCAAACCCAGTAACAGCAATTACAGTGTACAATTTTGCTTTACGAATATTGTGATCGAAAAAAAATAGTTTGTTGCCGCAAGAAACATTATCTATTTATCTTTCTATTTACCCTTATTTATAGAAATCAAACAATTTTTGTAAGCTTTTTTGTTCCATTCTGCTAGGGACTTTACGTAAGAGAAAATGGGAAAAGAGTCAAATTCGTTATAAAGTTGAAACACACTTTTTTTAAATAAATTGCCTAAAAATATATATTTTTTTTTCTGGTATACATTAGTGCGGAAAAAATGAAAACCTTTGTACAGAAATTGAAAAACAAATCTGACAACTCTAAATCAAACCAAATGACATTTCGTTTTTTGTTTTGCAGAGTATTATTTTATTCACACAAAAGAAGTAAAAGATATAATAAAAATATTTAAAATATTATTTTTGTCAAAATTGCCATCGCAAAAGTGAGTTGGATTTTTGAAATTGTTTAAAAATATAAAATTCATTCGTATATTTTTTTAAGTATACAAATAAATACACTTATACCCTTATACTATATACATACATACATTACTTATCCATTGCTAAGTAAAAAAATTATTCAAGTTAAATCTTAGATTCATAATTTTTTCATCTAATCAATTATTTTTCATTTTTGTAGAAAGTGCGAGGTCTTTTTAAAAAATGGATGCTTGCTCTGCGGTTGAGAAAGAGTTAGATCGTGTAGTTACAAAATTTACTGGAATACGTGATCACGCAATCAAAGTTTTCGATTTAGCTTTTTCTGATGTTGAAAATATTAGGCAAATTTTTTTGGACGATCCCGAAGCAAAATTAACTGAAAACCAAGTAGAAATTATCAAAACTGTCTTAAATCGTACTAAGTCCAAATTACAAGGAATATCTTCAGATCATCGAGAACTACACGGTACTGTAAGCAAAGTTGGAAAAGTCATTGACAGAAACTTCGTATCAGACTTTTCTGCTACAACACGTACAGACTTTTTGCAAGATAAAAGTAACGTGGAACTTTTAAACAAAATAATAGCCCAGCATTATTATCGACAAGGAATGGATGATGTAGCTCAAGAACTATTATCAGAATCTGAACTTCCACAAAGTATATCGCAAGAAATTTTCGAATCTGAAAGAAGTTACGCAACAATATATAAAATATGGGAAGCAATTTTAGCACGAAATTTAGAACCGGCATTAGATTGGGTTTCGCAGTATTCAAATGAACTTAAATCAAAGAATAGTTCTCTAGAATTTAAACTACATAGACTTGTTTTTATGCAAATATTGTCACGCGGTGTAGAAGCACAGGGTGAAGCTATTTCTTATGCTAGGAAAAATTTTTCGAATTTAATAGATCGTTTTGAAAAGGAAATACAAAACTTAATGGGAACCTTAATATATTTACCTGTTGGGATTGAAAATTCTCCATATAAGCACTTAACGTCACAAGATATGTGGACTGAAGCATCTTATATATTTCTCAAAGATGCTTGTAATACACATGGTATTAACAAGGATTCTCCTTTATCCATTGTAGTCAATGCAGGATGTACAGCCTTACCGGCTTTGCTAAGCATAAAGCAAGTAATGCTTTCGAGAAAAGTTTTAGGCGTATGGAAACAGCGAGATGAGCTTCCAATCGATATTGAGCTGGATGCCGAATATAGATATCACTCAATTTTTGCTTGTCCAATTTTGAGACAACAAACGTTTGAAGACAATCCACCGATGAAATTAGCATGTGGTCATGTAATTTCAAGAAATGCGTGGTCTCAGTTAAGTCATGGACCAATGTTGAAATGCCCTTATTGCCCATTAGAACAAAGTCCGGATGAAGCTAAGTACATTTATTTCTAAAAATTTTGTAAATTTCAAAACAAGTTTCTAATAAATGTATTAGAGAGGTTAAAATTTAACATGTAAAGTATTTAATAAGTATGTATGTAATTTAAAAAATATTAAACTTCTATGTATAAATTGTACGAAAATTAAAAATATTTACAGTAAAGCGATTCCAATTTATACAGTCAATATTAATGGATGTCAGTTTAGTTTCAGGAATCCAGTTGGCCTACATATGTAAAAATAAAGTATTATCACTGAAAAAGTAAGTATCAAATTCCAGTTTAATGTTAAACGGCCTATTCTAAAAGTAACTAATTAAGACTCAACTAAATAAGACTCATGCATATTGAGTATGTATTAAATATAATTCGACGAAATATGAGCATATGGTATCCGGTTTTCTTTTTCGTTTCACCGAATATACTGTGTGAAGAGCCCTATTGCATCAATTTACTTTTTAAAAAAGTATTAATATATGTATGTATGTAGCACATTAATGTTTCGGCTCTTAATGCAGAAGAAAGTTTGTAAATTTTTATTAATTAAAAGAAGTAAAAAAGGGGTTGGTATTATTTAAAGAAGAAAATGTGTGTATATATGTATGTAAGTGCCAATCAAGATTCAAGACCGTCTAGATTGATAGGAAATCTAGATTGTGCATTTATAACTATGTGTGTAAATACATACTCATTTTGTTTGCTCAATAAAACTTCGCTCCTTAACATGTTTACTATTCATATATGAAAACTTGCTAAGAAAAAAAGTGATTTTTTATTTTGTTTTTTTTAATTTTTTTACTAAAGAAAGTAAGAAATTAAAATGAGAAAATAGTTCTATTAACAATTTTTCTACATATCAAATATACATATGTACATACACATCACGATATGAAAGAAAAAACTGAATGCATACTTTATATTTTATGTTTACTGTTTATCATACATATGTATGTATGTAAGTTAAGAAATTATAGTTCAATTTCTTGTAAAAAAATATTTTTCTGGACTGATGTCCGTTTTACTGAATTAATGTATTTAATTATAATAAAACTTAACTGAACTTAATTACTATTTTTGAACATTTTTATAGCAAATGATTGATTATTCTGCAAAATATTACAATTATAAAGTTAAGGCTAAATTAGAGAGTTAAAAATGTTTGTTAAGCATTTATTGTGGGAATTATAAAAATAAAGTTTTCACAGGTAAATTTCTAAACAATATTCTCATGAAAATAATGCTGACCTCAGCGTCTGATGTTATGCGCGTGTATCACAGTGTCTTAACTCTTCCCTCCTTTAAGATCCGCGTCCACGTGGATCAGAAGCTCAATTTTACTGGTTGGAGTTTTGATTCCAGTTCTCCTAGTTCTGACGTTTTTTAAGAGATGTTATATTTTTTCCGGTTTTGGTATTTATAGATAGCTGCTGCTAGTAATATGGCAATGATAATTAAGGTGAATGTGGCATTGAATATTATGCTAACTGCTGAAGTTGTAGTGAGCTCGCTCAGTTGTTTGACATTACCCAAGTGCAAATTATGCAGATAATCTAGGTTGAGTTTCATTTTTCCTGAGGAATGGTTGTCAGTCATCATTGGTGGCAAAATGATTTGAGACGATTGAAATTCTTTGTTGGTATAGATCTTGTCTTTTTGGCTTTTACGAATTCTTTCAGTAAGATCTTCATAAACCTTGTCTTGAAAGTTTGTTAGGTTTTGGTAATTTATTCGTTGCGTTCTTCAATAAAAAATGTCTGATAGTTTTTTTCCGATAACGAAGTGAATGCTGTTGTTGTAGCGATCGACGGCAATGTTAATTATTTCTTTAAATGGTAAATTTCGATGTTCCCGTTGTAGGCATCTGGATATTTCCTCTATTGTTGAGTGGATTCGCTCTACATTACCATTTGCTTCGCTTCTCTACGTTGGAGTGAGGTATACCTGGATTCCCAATGTTCTCAAATAATCGACTATGACAGGGCTTGAAAAGCTAGGTTCTTTATCCATTACTATCATTCGAGGTACTGTGTAGCAATGTACAATTTTCACCAATTTTTGTCGTAAGTGCAAGGCCGATCTGTTTCTTATTTTGAAGAATTTTGCAAATTTAGTGGATTTATCGATACAAGTGATGAATTTTTCCTTATTTATTTGTATCAGATCTATGTACATATGTGTAGAATTTCAGATGGATAGGTGGGTACAGGTATTTCCGATAGCCACGGATTGTTGGGATGGCGGTCATATTTACTGGTGTTACATATTTCACATTCGAATGTGTACTTCTTAATGAGGCTAGCCATTTGCGGATAGTAGTATTTCTGCATTATTCGTTCCTTATTTTCCTTCCTGTGTGCTCGTTTATCTTCATGGCTGATGATTTGATACTTATTTTCCTCATTGTTGACATCTTGCACGATTCGTTGTGTTATGCGAATTTTGTATCCTTGGAAATGGTTTTTATATAGGTCCTAGAGCAACTGAATTCGATTTTGGGGTATTTTAATACCATTGACAATTGATGGTGATATTGTTCTCTTTAATGCTTCTAATAGATTTGTATTGGTGATATCCTGAAGACCAATATAATGGCGGTGGTAACTTGGATGAGGATTTTCGTAGGCAGAAGGTATTGGTCCTTGTGAAACGATGATCTGATTTTTGAACACGATAAGCGGAGCTTCGCAATGTGGTATAAAGTCGCTGCTGTCCTCTTCTGCGCTGTGCACTATTACTGTAGTTTCTGTGTTGTTAAGTCTTGAAAGTGCATCGGCAACCATGATAGTAACCCCTGGTTTTTATATTAACTCGTAGTTGTATTCCTCTACTCGTGATTTCCATCTCTTAAGCTTGGCGTTGTTTTTTCTGTTGCCTAGGCTGAACGTTAGAGGTTGGTGGTCCGTTAAAATCTTTACTTTTTTTGCTCCACAGAAGTAACACCCAAACTTGTCCAGAGCCCAGACTATTGCTAATAGTTATCGCTCGTTGGTTGCGTATGCTTCTTCTGTCTTGTTGAGTGCTCGTGATGCATATGATATTAGGCAATCTTTGCCTATGTACAACACTACACCGAGTGCTGTATATGCTGTATGAACTCTGTTGATGATAAGGCCTGTTTCAATTCTTTGAATGCTCTGAGTTCATCTTCGTTGAATGTGATTGTTATTTTCCTTGATTACTTGGGCATTTTTACCTCGGTAAGGTTGGTAAGTGGTTTAGCTAATTGTCAGAAATCCCTAATAAACCTCCTATAATATGATGCTAACCCTATGAAACCTTTTAATTCTTTCAAATTTTCTGATATCTTCATTTTTTGTATTGCTGTGATTTTTTCGGGATCTTTTTTTATGCCTTCACTTGTGATTTTGAAGGCTAAAAATTTTGTTTCTGCCTTCATAAATTCGGATTTATCTAAATTCACTTTCAAATTGGCCTTCTCTAATGTATCGAAAATTTTCTCAACGTTTCTCAGATGTTCGTCCTCAGTCTTTCCTCCGAATATTATCACGTCATCGATGTACACATAGCATATTTTCCCGATATATTGTTTTAATACGCCGTCGATCATTCTCTGGGAGATCGAGGGTGCATTTTTGAGTCCAAAGAGTAGACGCAAAAATTCAAATTTACCATTCAATGTGGAGAAGGCGGTTTTCGTTTATCTTCGTCCTTCATCGTTTGAGTAATATCCAATTTCGTTTATCATCGCTATCGTTTGAGTAATATCCGGTATTGGATATGCGTCGGATATGGTAAAGGCATTAAGTCTTTCGAAATCTACGACCATTCTGTACTTTCTTGTTCCTGTGGAGTCCCTTTTCTTTTCGACGACCCAAATAGGTGCGTTGTATGGACTTTTTGAAGGCCTGATGATTCCATTCTCTAACAGATTCTGAATTTGGTTGTTCACCTCCTGGATATGGGTTGTTCATGTTTACTGGATATGGGTAAATTTTTAAATAGATTGGTTCGCTAGTCGAGGTTTTGATTTCTACTCGAACTTGAGTTTCGATAGTTTCTTGATCGTTGAGAGGACCGAAAAGTTTCTGGTAAATGGGTGTACGGTGGGCCTTGGTTTCTTGGCGTGTTCTGGCTTTATAAAATTTTGTTTGCCCCAGTGTCTACAAGAAACATTTTGTTGTCGGCTGTGTTGTATAAAATTTAATTCGTCTTCTTCTTCGCATTCCGATTCTTCTGATTCAGAAGTTTCTAAGTTATAAAACCTCTGCTGCTTACGATTCATGTAACTTGTGTCGCTCAGTCCTTTGAAATTTTGCCTGGGCCGGTTCGAATAGTCCAACTGTTTTGTTAGTATCGAGTGATCAACTTCCGTCGGGACAGGCGGTTTCGGTTGGTTTAGTCTGGCTGGTGCTTCTTCGTTCGTTCCCCTGAATGCGTATCTATTGCCATTGTATGGCTGTTGGTAATAAGAGCTTATTGGCTTGGTTGGTTGAATGACGGTTTTTTCCTCAAAAGAGCATTGATTGGAGCTACCACTCTATTGCTTGAGCCCTTACTGTGTATCGGTATACTACGTACGCTGGTATTCTGGATTTCGAGGCAAGAAGAATACGCTTCTGGTAAGAATTGAAGTCGCTGAATGATGAGCATTCTTCATAGATCTCCGTTTAGCCCTCTTATGAACACATCTAGGGCAATGTTGCGATATGTTTCGCTTAGTGCTTGTATTGTGTCGATACTGTAATTTTCGGTTTTTAATTTGTTGATTATCAGGGACAACTGCTGATTGACGTTGGCGTAGAATTCGTCAATTATGAGGTTCTTCTGAGTAAGATTAGGTAGTTGGTCTACCAGTGTTTTGACAACTCGTTTATCAGCATAATGAAGGGCCAAACATGCCTTTATTTCATTCCAGCTGTTGTCAAAAATATTGTGCGATATTAAAGCACCATTCGCATTGCCTCGGATTTTCTGGCGGATGTTCTGCAATATCGATCTATATATTGGTTTGTGCTTTACGAATGGTTGCCATGATACGTACTGCGTCGGATTTTCATCGAACACTTGCAGCTCCTTTACCGCATCTGGCAATTTACAAACGTCTTTTAGGTCCTGCTCTATCTTTGGGCCAGCTGGTCCTGACGAGGAGGGTTGTAACGTTGGTTTTCTTATATTTTCTAATGATTCTATTTTAATTTGCAATGCTTTAATTATGTTGAATTGGGCGTTGAGAGCCCCAGTCATCTCTCTCATGGCATTTTGTATTTCTTCGATTTTTTTCTCTATATTTATTATTATTTTTTGTAAATAATGTTTCGCTAATTTTTAGCTCGAAAAATATTTTTAATCACTCGTAAAAGTTTTAAAGAAGAATCTTTATTCTTGGGTTTAGTTGTACTCCCGTTAGGAGTGAAATGCTTCGCAATGGTTTTCATTGGATAGTCGTAGTGATACGTCGTGGTCATCCTTTTTACCCTAGAGCGTTGATAATTGCGGTAGGCCTACTGCGGTGCGATTGAAATGAAAATTATGCTGATCTCATCGTCTGATGTTTTGCGCGTGTATCATAGTGTCTTAACTTGTATGCCATTTTTTCTCCTCCTACTTTTATTTGAAAAATTTATTTTTTTATTTCATTTTCTAATTTAATGACAACGATAAAAAATGAGGGGGGTTAGAAAAGATATAAAAAACTACTATGTAATTCAATTTTGGTGAAAATACTTTCGCATTCCGAAAAATGGTAAGGTAGTACTTACCAATTTGTATGGCACTACTTTTCAACTTCTGCAAATATGAAAATAGTTTCACGAAATGCGAATATCATAGTGCTCTTTACTTATTTTTTAATAAGGTCATGAGTGTTGCTTTATTTTTTGTTTGAAAGTAGCCTTATTTTTGAAGGAGTTCGGTACTCTTGGAAGGCTTGCATTATTACTGTGAAAGGTCGTTTTCCAATGGAAATTGTACATTTTGCTTGAGTCGTGCGCGGACCAAGTATAGAATACTTGTCGGATCGGATGACGATTGTGGGATTCTCTTGGTTTTTCAGACCACCCCCTCGACCTTATCGGCATGGTCGCACCTGCCAGACGTTGTAAAAACTACAGCATCTCAAATCATCAAACTCGGAAATCTCTACAAAATCTCAAAATCGGAATCTTCTAAAAAACGAAGATCTATGAAACAACAAAATATTCAAATAGTATTTAAAATTTTTTTTATATGACATAATTTTTTTTTTTTTCAAAATCCTTTTTTTCTTTATGTTTTAATTAGCCGACAAAAGACTATTTGCTATGCCTGAAATATCGGTTTTAAAAAGGGCCGATTTTATTTTTTTGCTCTTTTGCTCTTTAAAATTAAAAATTTAAAAATTGTTTGCTTGCTGCCTTTTTTAATTTTGTGCAATTTTTCAAATTATTTGTAAATCATACGTTACTGATAGCGAAATTTTCTTGCTTAGAGGGCAGACAATAAACTAGCTAATGAAAATATTTCAGATGGTTTAGTAAAATTTTTGGCTGATATTGAAACTTCTTGCCTGTGTAAACGTGCATAAAGTTTTATTTCAGTATTGTCTGCGTTAACAAAAGGAGCCATATTAATGAAAGAATCGATGTGTAAACATAGCTTTTCATTTACCTTTGGTAACACTGTTAAAGCAGTAAAGCTCAGTAAAAGTCATTTACATCGCCATATTCAACTTACTTTTACTTAATCAAGTGTAATTAAAAACTTTGAAAAAATTCTTAAAATAAGGTACATAATATTATATTAATCAAACTAAACAAATATTACGACAAATGTTATTACACTTTTATTTTACCAGGAGTCATTTTGTTTGGGAACAACATGTCAGCCACAGATCAAATGCGTCAAATGCTTGATCAGTTGATGGGAACAGCAAGAAATGGTAACTAACAAAAAAATTTCAAAAAGTTATTTGAGAATCAATTAACTGTAAAGTAAGAATAAAATTCGGTTTATCTTTATATTTGATCTTTATCTACATTTGTTTTATTCCCCATACGATACTCCTGTAATATTTGTTATTTTATAAAACATAAGTATATATTATGTACTACATAAAACCTTTTATATAAACTAACATGTGTAGATAGATATGTACATAAATAGTATATGTGTGTAATTTTTTTTATACAAAACGACTATTGTGTTGAATTTTACAAAATTACTGTGTTTTTTTTTTAATTTTAGGCGAATCTGGCCGTTATCAAGCAAAATTTTCAGATCAAAGAGTTTGTAAAAGTTTTTTGCTGGGATGTTGTCCTCACGAAATTTTAGCTTCCACGGTAAGTGACCCATTTATCTGCAGGTAATGAAGAATCCTACAAAATTTTTATGGAAAAATAAAACAAATATGTTTACATGTTTCACAAAATAAAAAAGTGTTAACATTAGACATATAAATCAAAAAAAATATCTGATAGCTAAAAAAATGTTCAGGACATATTTCCAACAATTAAAAGAACCGACGACAAAATGTACAACGAAAGAAATTAATGAAGGTTTTTTTTTTGTTCGATGTACTTTTCAGAAACAAGCAATTTTACCAATTATATTAAACAAATTATAAAAACATTTATTATTTTTCCAAAAAATAATAATAATAAGCAAACTGTGAACACTTAAAAAATTATTGATTAAAATTGTTAGGAGTAGCAATTGTATTACGTATGCTTATAGGCATATATGTGGTAGATGTTACAAAGTTCGCTCTGGGGAGGAAAGAAATCCGTGAGTTTTTTTAATCAGGAATTTGAATTTTTTTAAAATTAATTTTGAATTTTTGTTTACAAAAAATGTAAAAATATATATATTTTATTTGAGTATACAGAATTCAGAACTTTTTGTACAGAATCCTGTAAGTTGTTACTTTGTTCGGCTACTGCTACCTACTGTTTTTGCTATGTACGAAACTCAGTCAAAATATATCAGTTCAAATAACAGTACCTGTAAGTAAAATAATAATTAAATTATATATCGTCGAATTTCTAATATTTTAAGTATATTTAAATATACATACCCATATACATAGATTAAAAGGGAAGAAACAGGACAAGTACGTACGTATATTTTTAGTTTTTAAATACATAGTTATATTTGTTTAACATTAGTATTTTGAACTTTAAACTTACAAAACATATTTGATTCGCTGAAAGTTTTCTATGTCGTGACAAAATCGCGAATTTTGTTAGTATGTAGTATTAAAATCATACTCAATCTTTTTGTAAAGTTCGATATAAAAAAGTGAAAATTTTTTTCAATTGTACGTTTTAGCATTTGGTAAGTCCTTTCACTTGTAATATTAAAATTATGAATAGTTTTTTTAATGCATTATTTAACAGTTATTTACTTTAATGCTCTCTAGTTTAAATTACAATAATTAAATATCATGAATTTTTCAGTTTAATTAATAAGTAAACACGTTGAAATACTTTTTATTTTACACTACGCGAAATAATTATTGAAAATAAAGTGTAAACAAATATAATGTTAAAGGGAAGAAAAATTGTTATTTTTGAAGTTAAAATAATATCTCAATATATATATAAAAATTCTCAATTTAATAAACTGATAAATAATGCATATAAAAAATAAGGATTTAAGAAAAATAGGTTTACATATTTGTAATAGTCTAGATTGCCTTAACTATGTATTTCTGGATTCTTATAGTTGGTACGTATTTAATAACATCAATAGCAATTAAAAAATTAATGTATAAGTTTAATGGGAGCCGAACACTGTTATTTTGGTACGTATTAACGATATTGAATGCAAAGTTGGTTTCCGTGTTTTAAGAATTATAAATTGAAAAATTGTGTTAAAATTAAACAGTATTAAAAAACCGAAATGAAAGAAATTTCATGAACTTAAAATTATTACAAGATTTTCTAAAATTCATCTATCAAATTTCGGGTACGTATTCACCTAATTTGTATTCTTTAATAAAAAATTTAAATAAAGCTGTTCTCGATTTTTCAAGATTGTACATAAAAGTGCTTGATTTTTCTTTTTATTATTATATTAAATTCTAATACATATTATATTAATTTCTAAAGTTGATTTCCAAAAAATATAATGATTCAATAGGAATTTCATTAATATGTTATTTATTTACGTTAGTAAATTGAAAATTCGTGGCCACTAGAAATCCTAACGAAAGTTAAAATATATTACTGGCATAATATTCGTACGACCCATTGCCCAAACTTATATTTAATAAATTTGTATTTATTTATTTTAAAAATTTTATTCCCATTTAAATTACACGTTATAAGCTTTACAATAATTAAAATTTGCCAAAGCAAATCAACTCCGCAATAATAAAAAAAAGCGAGGGATAAACTAAATATCGATTTAATAAAAGATTTTGAAAGATATTTGAAAAATATACATACATAAATTCAAAAAGAAATTAGATTGTGTTCAAGAAATTTTTTCCTGAACATAAAATAGTTAAAGTTTTCATAGGCAATATTATTGTGTTAAGAGCATTGCTTTAAAAGTACATATAAAATGTTTTCATCGTACTTTGTATTAAATAAGGTATAACTTTAAATTTTTGCTTATCAATAATAAATTTTACTAAGTAATTTCTAGAGTTATTTAGACAGGCTGAAAAATTAAAAAAATTCCAAAAAAAAAAATTAAAGATTTCATAAAAGAAGTAATATATTGTTATTATCAAAATTAAGGTTTTATTTTTAGATTCGGTTTTTGTTATAAAACATTTTTAATTATTTTTTTGTTGCATAAACAAAAAATTAAGTAATGATATCGCTAGTAAATGATGTAAACTATTTTATAAAATTATCTGCATAATCTAGCAACTTCATAAACAATATTATGATCCTTTTAAAGTTTTTCTAGTATAACTATTTATCTGAAATAGCATGAAAACTAGTACTTTAAATATATTATCAATTTACAGTTAGTTGAACTAGTCTATATTTTAAGTTTATACTACTGAAGATAAAAATGTATAGTTATGTGAAATAATGCTTATGACGTGTTTCATACTCACATAAGCACATTCAAATAGTGTGAAATATTTTTCTATCAGATCAAAAAAATCAGTCATAAATTTATCCAAACACTGTGTTATTTTATCAATAGAATATGGTTCCATCAAAATAATACTGAATATCAGAATAAGGTTTTTTTTTGCAGCTCTAGGGCACTGCAATAGCTATATTAATTTTGCAGTTAAAAAGAAAAATTAAGAACTAAATATTTCCACTAAATAAAATTTTTTTGGTTTTTAAAATCATTTAGCGAATGGACCTTGGAGAATGTCCGAAAATTCATGACCTCGCCCTGAGGGCTGATTATGAAAGTGCTCAAAAAGTAAAGGACTATTATTACGATATTGATGTGAGTATATATACATATATTTCTTGTTTTATTTATTTCTGTTGCTATTGTTTCAATTTTGATTAAGGCTATGGAACATCTACAAGCTTTCATTGCTGATTGTGATCGGCGAACAGAAGCTGCTAAAAAACGTTTAGCCGAAACACAAGAGGAACTTACAGCGGAGGTTGCTGAAAAAGCAAATGCCGTTCATGCTTTGGCCGAAGAAATTGGAAAAAAGTTAGCCAAAGCTGAGGCTTTAGGGGAAGCAGGACAGGTTGAAGAATCAATGAAATTAATGACTGAAATCGATGAATTGCGAGCAAAAAAATTTAAAGCTGAATATGAATATCGTTCTTCAATGCCGGCATCAACATATCAACAACAAAAATTACGTGTTTGCGAAGTATGTTCAGCGTATTTGGGAATACATGATAATGACATACGCCTTGCAGATCATTTTGGGGGTAAATTGCATTTAGGATTTATGGAAATTCGTGAAAAACTGGCCGAATTGGAAAAAACTGCAGCACCTAGAAAAGAGCTTTTAAAAAAAACTGGAAATTATCGTGATCGTGATGAAGATCGTTTTAAAACCAGATATTATGTTGGCGGGCGTGAATTGGACCGTCGATCCAGAGTACATCGTTCGAAATCACGTGACCGTGAAAGGAGCAAACGTGATGGTGAATCGAGTAGCAACGCCAAAAGAAAATCGAAGTCGAAAACACGGAGTAGAAGTCGAAGTCGAAGTCGTAGTAAAAGTCATCATTCTCGAAGACGGTCAAGATCAAAAGAACGCTCTTCTAAATCAGACCGCCACGACCGTGATCGACGAGATAGAGAGAGAGAGCATAAACGTCGTTAGAGTAACATTTTTAAAATATTTTAGTTAAATAATTTTCTAAATATAATGTACATACATATATAATTTTTGGACTCAAAAATGGTTTTTCGAAGCTCTCGTTACGACCTATTTAGAAATGAATTATTTCTTTTTTGTTAAAAAAAGTCAATTTCAAATATTTATCTTTAAATCTGTTAGCCATAGTTTTAATTTTATTTTTCTACACTCTATGATTTTTGATTAAAAAAAAAACAAATTTTTTCACTTCCCCTAAAACTATAATACATTAATCCATTTTTGAAAAATAAAAACAGCTAAAAAAATTCAATATAATTTTATTTTCCGAATGTTATGCGGATAATACATACTGGTTCTAAACATCAAAACCTAATATTTAAGTTTAATGATTAAACACATTAAATTATAAATATTTTTTCTAAAATGAAAGACTAACCTTAATATCTTGGACGCCTTCTTGAAAATTTCAGGTAATCACAAACTAGACATCGCAGTTGTTTCCAAATAACAAAAATAAAGAGGATAAAAAAAAATAAATATGTATATAATAAATTTTTCTGTTAAATAAAAAAAAAACAAAAGTATGTTAAATATAGCCCTACATTATATTATAATAGCATATATGTATAATGTGTAGTGATGGTAATATAATAGCCCCAATTTTAGCGTTCAACTCTGTAGCACGCTTGCAAGTTTATTAGTAAATTTTTCGGCTTTTAAGTTCAGAAGAATAAGAAAATATTGTAAACACACCAAAAGTTAGTAAAAGCATGTTATATATACAATGCTAACGTCATAATGTTAATTTCGAAATTATTTCGGCCCATGTTATGATCGGCGAAGCGAATGAAGTTTTTGGCGAATATGAATTTTTGGTATTATGATAAGCGAATTCGCCTAAATTTTTATGCGAATGAACTGTAAAATCTGTCGAATAAAAAGTTCTGTGTGACAAGCTTGGCGAATGAAACCAAAAATCAAATTATTACATGTGTTTGTTTTTATTGTTTTATCGGATATTAAAGCATTTATAGTGATATAATGAAAAGAACTAAACTATCTGTAAGGTAAGTTTATAAAATTCTACAAATTGAGGTAAAAAATATTGATTGTTTAATATTAATTTAAGCGAGAAAAAAAACGAACAAAAACAACTCGAGCATATAAATAAATTAATGGAGAACAACCCGGTAATTACTAAAGGGATAGGAAAATATGTGTTTTTGCAAAAAAGTAAAAACAATGTACATATTATGTGCCGATCATAATAAGGATATTCATGTTATTTTTTTGTTAATTTTTTTCCGACATAAGTATTCCGACTTCAATCGCTTAAATTTGTATTAAAGAAATATTTGAGCACAATTTATGTGTAACATTAATATAACATTAGTATAATAAATACAACGCCAACTTCTGTTTATCTTAATTACCTTAGTTTCCACTTTTCATAAAATTTCATCTTCACTTAATGTACATATAGCAATATTTAAAATTAAAAAATATAATTAGTAGTTTCTTTTTACGTCGAAATAATATCTAAATCTTTAAGTTTAACCAGAATTCCTTTTTAAGGATTACTCTATTGAAATGCACATTAAATGAAAATACAAAAATATTAATTTACACGATTTAATACTAAAACTATCGGCATATTTACCTCAAATAAAATTTATAAAAAAATAGTAATCGTCGAAAAAAAAATTGTACTTTATTTCATACATTCTATTTACATATATTTCGACACAAGGTCAAAACATTTAAAAAACAAGTCTTATAAAGTTTTTATAAAAGGAAATATAAAATGCCGTTTAAAACTAAAAAATTTGGTTCAAAATTAAATTCTTCAAATAAAACGACAGATTGTAATTTACCGGCATTGAAAAAATCTAATCAAAATATTCGAAATGGTGTAAGAGAATTAAATTTGGCGAAATCTATTCTCAAGAAATGCAGCACGTACAGTGGTGACAATGTGTCCGTTTTAAACCTAGTTTTGATACTTCTTTAAAAATAAAAAGTTTTTTTTTTTTAAGGTTTGATCATTTAGCTGAATTAATTCGTAGGATAATCGATCACCGACCAGAAAATGTAATTGATTTTTTTGAAGAATTTAGTCGAAACATTAGGGAACAAAAACTGCGTACTGTAAAAGATATTATTGAAAGTGCTCACGGAATTTCGAAAAGATTTTTTTTGGCTGAATGTATGCTAAGTTCATTAGATGTAAGTTACATGAAATTTAATTTTAATCTTAAGAATAAAAAGAAGGGTTGATTTTAAAGCGGGATCTGTTTCTCGATCTACTGAGCCGTTTCAATTTAAATTATATCACAAATTTGTTTGAAATTCAGTGAAAGTACCCTACTTTAATACTTTATTCAAAATGAAATTTTATTTTACAGATGTTTAAAAAATTTGAAATTTCGAACGAAGAAGAGAAAGAAAATAAAATACTTTCATCGTTAACTAAGAAAGAGAGTATTTTGGAAGTTCCAATAACTATGAAAGAAAGCATTTTGGAAGTTCAATTACATTGGTCATTATGTGGGATCGGTTTGGGCTTAGAGATATCTTTTCAGTTAGTTTGTGCTATGCAAAGGTTGCTCTTAAACTCCAAAATTAAAAACATTCGTTTTTGGGGCATGATTTTTGGATTACATAAATCTTACTATATTGTTGAGTGTGATTTGTTGCAGTCAGAAATTTTACTACGCCAAAGTGTAATGCTCGCGAACTTAGACAATCAGCGTAATGAATTCATTAGACATGAAATTATAGAAAAGAAGTTTTTAGGTGATATTAATTTACTGAACTCACTTGTACCTGGACAAAATTTTGAAACTATTTATAGAGAAAAAATATTAAAAAGTTGGAAAGAAATATCAATAAAAAAATGTTCACCGTTGCCAAAATCAGATATAAAAAAAAATGTGGATGTCTCACCGGAATTAATAGGTCAAGGGTTGAATGAAAAAACTTACTTTGTTGTAAATAATTTAACTGATGATTGGGTAGAGTTGCCAATAGTTACCCCAAAGCAACTTACTGCTTCAAGAAAAATAACAAAATTTTTTACTGGAAATTTAGGTGAAAAAATATATTCATATCCAAAATTTCCAGGAGTGGAAAAGCATTATTTGCGATCAATTATTGCAAGAATTACTGCTTCAACGTATATTGCTCCTAGAGGCTATTATCAACTTCAAACGAAAAAGTTTCCTGTAGAACCGGAAAGTGAAGATGAAGAAGGAAAAGGAGAAGAATACAAAGAAAAAAATTGTGAGTCAACCGAAAAGAGAAATGTATAATGTTTTAAATGGTTCAGTTTCAGGACCTTTTAATTTGACCTATTTGATCTGTATTTTAGTTAATATTAGTGAAATTCCCCTAAGCTATGTTGAAGATTAAGTAGATTTCACTTAACTGCTGATATAAGCTTATGTGGAAAACTTATACCTTCCGAAAAATTTTTTTTAAACCTATTCTGCCCCATTTTCATTAATTATGTATATATGTTTGTATGTCTGAATATTTGATGCTAAATTTAATTTAAATTTCTACATGTTACAGGTCGAAAATCAGTTTTAGTAAAAAATGAGAAATATATTTCGCCACGAATAACGGAACTTCTAGCAATATGTTTTTGGGAGCACATTAGACCATCAATTTTGGAACATGGAAGAGTTGATTGCATAAATGCAGAACAATATTTTAGAAAAACTATCAATTTTGTGAAAAATGAAGAGGAAGCTAAGGAAAACTTAGAAGGAGACCCACCGCCTATATTTTTCAAATGTGAAAATGACACCATAGTAGAACTAGCTTCACCATGGACGATCCGTTTATCTTCGGTTCACAATCGTATTAATCAACTGGCAATAGCAAAGTCAAATATTTGGCCTGGTGCCTTTAATTATTTCTCGGGAAATGTTTGTGAATCAATATATTTTGGATGGGGTCAGAAATACATTTCGCGGAACTTCTCCCCTGAACATGTCCCCCAAATGCAATATGAATGCACTTTTAACATTCTTGAAGAATCCGACCCTACACCAATGAAAGAGGAAGACTGGGACTTGTCTCATTTATCGCTTACGGGTACTACCTGGCCTCTAAAAGAGAGTAAATCAAAGAGTAAAGAGAGTAAAAGCTCTAAAAGAGAGTAAATCAATTTCTTATAAATAAATTGAATTTAAATTTTTATTGTGTAAGCTTTATTAAAATTATAAGTAAAGCACAAATTTAATTCTGATGGCGTCTTTAATTATAAGTCTTTGAAGCATACTGCTAATGGTTCATTAACGAATTCCACATATTCGTAAGCGTTTTTTAGTATCTCTTTCATTTGGACACTATGGTTCCAATCTCTGGTTTCACAAATTACTTTGATCTAAAAAAAATATAAAAATTTTAAAACGAATCCGAATATGAAAAATGACATAAACAATTATTTAATTTTTTGACAAGAATTTTTGTACAGCATTGTGCATGTCAAACATTTTCAAACATACTTCAACCGAAAAAACATCTTTTAGCCATGCTCTTTCATGCATTATATCCTTAACAGAAACGCCATTCTCGGCCAAGAGTTTACATAAACCTTTAATACCACCTGGAGCATCTATTACTCTTACAGCAAATTTGATCAATCTTCCGTCAGCAACTAAACCTCTTTCTAGGCATCTTCCAAATATTGTGGTATCAATGTTACCTCCACTGATTAAAATAACAACTCTAAAACAAAAAATATCAAAAGGTTAAAATGAAAAAAGTAATAAGAATAATTTCGGCAGAATTATAAATAAATACTTTTTTCCTTTTAGTTCATCCAAATGGCCAGCCAAAATAGCTGCAAGGCAAGCTCCACCGGCTCCCTCAACGACACATTTTTCTGCTTCAACTAACCTAAGAATACCCAACGCAATCCATTCCTCCTTAACAACGACTACTTTATCTATTAAAGGTTTTGCAGTTACAAAAGCATTATAACCAACTGTTGGTACTGCCAAGCCATCAGCTAAAGTATTTTTACATGCAGTATATATGGGTGCCTTATTTGCAATAGCCTGTGAATAACTTGCACACTTGTCAGACTCAACACCCTTTCATAAAAGCATTCAAATTGCTTAATTATAAAGTATTAATCAAAACAAGTTAACTTACAATTATTTTACATCTTGGATTTAATGCTTTAATAGCTGTCGCTACACCAGCAATAAGACCCGCACCCCCCACAGGAACAATCTAGGGAAATGTAAAAACCGAATAAGGTAGGTAATTTTTATAAATGCTGAAAATAAATTGATTTTCTTACGACAGCGTCTGGATTGGGTACTTGTTCTAATATTTCTAATCCTATAGTACCCTGTCCTGCCATTATATGTGGGTGATCGTATCCATTTATATATAATAACTTACGCTCTTTTGATATTCTCATAGCAATTTTTTTCGCTTCACCCATATCTTTACCTTGAACAAGGACTTCTGCTCCATAATTACAGCATTTTTGTATTTTCATAATTGGCGCTGCTGTTGGCATTACCACGGTAGCTGGTATTTTTAGTTGCTGGGCATGGTAGCTTAGACCCTAAAAAGGGAAATGCTTGTTATTATTTAAAGTGCATACATTCCATATATTTTATTTTCTTTGTCATTAGTTTTAAATTTGATGTAATTTCGAAATACAATTGCTCGCGAAACCGAGTTAAGATGACCTCGGATTTAATGCGTTATTTGCTTTGTCTGCATTACATGGAATAGATGTTACCGAATTTCTATATTATTGAGAATTTTACGAAATTTGTTAAGTGTGTTTTGCACCTCATTGCAAATTCCGAATCGAAGTTTCAGAAGTCCCGAAGCATTTACTTGTTTGGTCGCGACAAAAATAGGTTCTAAAAAACATTTTTACTTCCTAGAACAAGATTATTTTGTAAACCAAATTTTGAACTTACTTGGGCATGATTTCCCAAAGAAGCCGCTATAACACCTTTTTGTTTTTGTTCATCTGGAAGCATTAGCAATGCATAGCGTGCTCCACGTTCTTTAAAGCTGAAAAAAATTTTTACTCATACATTTTTAAAGTTGAAATCTAAAAATAATTTTATTGAAATATTTGTATGCATTTTGTTGTACCGTTCCTTTGACTTCTCATTTAAGCTATTATTTGTAACTATAAATTTCTAGTAATACTAGAATTATTATACTAGTTTTAAATATCAATAAAATATAAGTACATATTTGTCGCGTAAAGTTTGTGTTTAAGCGACTTAAAACAACGCCGATCGAAATTACGCAACTCGAGGCCTTAGTATATTTAAACTATAGTATTCATGAAATGTATAAGTTCACTGCATGCTATATTATACCTGAATGTTATAGATAATCTTAATAATCGTATAACATTTAGCATTAATATGTAATATCATTGAAATAAAAAAAGCCGTTACTATAATTTATATATGTATCTCTTAAGTTTGGCTGGTGATTATATGTAAGTTTCTAACTATTGGGCAATATTTTTCCTGCATGGAACTTTCCAATTTACGGAAACACTAATATTTTAACATGAAATTTTTAGAGAGTACAGTCTAGTGCGCAACTCCTTGAAAGTGGGTAAGTGAAGCGCAGGTGAATCGATATGCTTCGTTGAATGAATTTCTTTATATTTTAAAATTTGAACAATTTACAGCTGTCTTATTAAAGTTTTAAAGAAATTTAATATTGATTTTATAAAGTCAATTATAAAATTGTTTCCATAAAGTCAAAAATAATAATTTGTATAAATATGTACATATGTATATATACTCGTACATACATATGCACATATATTAATTTTTTACAAAATAAATAGGTACAGATGTAAGTAAATAAAATAACAAATTTTAGAGCAAATATTTGTGTATAAGTTGAACTTGACCAGCAATTAGACTCACTATCTGAAAGCCTTAATAGCAGAAACGAGATTATATGATTTTCAACTTTTTTTTAACTATATATATGTACATAATATATGTATGTATGTGGTGATGCACAAAAATTAACTATAAAAAAAAACATAAATTAGTTTAATGTGATTAGTCAAATCTTATATTGCCATTATATTTGACAATTTGGAAAAATGTGTGATAGATTAATTAAATTATTTAATTTTTAAGATGGGCCGAGTTCAGAGTTAATCTATCAAAAATTGTAATTTAAAATATGTATACATAATTTATTTATTAAACGGCAACATTACACTGTCACTATCTTTCACTTTTCTCCAAAAGATGCATTTTAGAACTGTAACTACAGCATGCAGTTTAAATAAAATTTAAAATAAAATCAACTAAAGCGTAGAAGTTACAACTAAACATTTAACCATCACTAAACTAAAGATAGTGTTACATTAAAGTAAGCTTCGAAAAATAAAAACTCAAGCACTTTGATTATTATGTATGAATGTAAGTAAACATATTCAATACATATAAATATATTAAATATATATATATATATATATATATATATACATGTAAATATGTAAATGAATATGTTACGTAAGTATACATACATACGTAAATTTAACGCAGCAAAATAAAAGTATTGAAACTTTCAGCTGTTTTTTAATTCGAAACTAAACTTGTTTTATCTTATTCGAATATTTTTAAAAATGATTTAAGCGAAATCTTTAAAAAGTCCAAAAATCGTCATCAATAACGACCTTGATCAATAAATTTTACAAATTGATTAAATACAAATTATATTTGCAGAAAATATTTACCTCCCTGTATATTGCATAATTTCCATTTTCATAAATAATTCCATTCCAAGATCTTCAGACATGCGAGATCGCTTTAAAAATTAAAAATTTTACCATTATTATGTAACTTTATATTTTTAAAAACAAATCAACTTTACGATACAAGGTGTCCTTTCAATGCCATCTTTTATCATAAATGCTGCTGATGTTATATCATGAAAAGATAATTTATATGGATTATCAGCATTGCAGTATGGATCTTTTATATTATCACGAGGAATTTCTTTTAATGGTTCATTGATTTGATCTCCTGTACTTATATTGTCGCCGTTACAAATTTCAATGCCATTGCTTTTATTACTATCAACACTTAATAATGGTATCATATCAGTTAAAATACAGCCATCTTGATTTATGTTAGAAAAACAGTTACTATTTTTCTCCATTAAATTAGTTTTTACTTCAAATTTAATTATGTATGTATATGTATATTCGGAAATTTTTTAGCAAATCTAAAACATAAACTTTTCTCAAAACAATAACTTTTTTAATTTTTATAGCTTTATTATATTTAGAATTTCCCTATGATTTTAAAAAATTGATTTAACTCTTTCAATTTTGAATTCATTCTAAAACCTAAATTTAATGAAAATTCAATTAATATTAAAAAGTTGCATAATCTTTTAGGATTAAGGAATACATAAAAAATTAAAGTATTATTAAAGTAAATTGTGCAAAAATTTTCAAGAATAAGAAAAAAGTAAACAAAAATATTTACTTTTTTTTTAGTAAGTTAAAGAAAAATTAAATAGAAACTTAGCACTTAAAGTAAGGTAAATAAATAGTTTTTCCCAATACAACTGTTCTAAGGTGTAAATTTTGGTATTGTATTATAAATCGATATAGTTAAATAAAATTGGCAATTTTAAATGTTGGTAGACCTTGTCAAAACGCAGAGGCATAACAGAAACGTTAAGTTTAACATAACTTCTTTCAAGTTGTAAGATTAAGAATACTTAATTCAAAAATATACCATTTTAATATGTAAGATAAAAGCAAATCTATAATAACAATTCTATAATTGCAATTCTATTCTAATTCGAATAGTTTAAGCTAGTTTAGTACTACATTAATTTTACATTTTATACATTTATTCATATTTGTATTTATTTTTGATGTTATGCTTGAAATAAATAAAGACTTATTGAACTGAAATTGAATTCAACAATAATATGTGATTTTTGCTATAGATCTTATTACAGGCAGTTATACTTATTGTGGTTTTAATTTTTTCACCTACTCAACATTTTGTTAAAAGTTTCAAATCAAACAATCTTTTATTAATATCAAATGAACATTTTAACAATTTGATTATTAATTATGTAAATTTTCCAATAAACTTTTTTTATTAATACTTTTCTACATATTCAACTATGTATGTACATATATAATAAATTATTCCTACAACTTACGTAAAAAAGTTTAAAATATTCAATTTTATGAAAAACTAAGCAATTTTTTCTGTAAAATTACTTTTACATACTTTTGAATGTATGTATGTATATGTATATAGTTAATACCTTGAACAAAATTGCTTATTGCTTTCACCACTTATAAAAATAAATTAACTAAATTTTATTTACTTATTCACAAATTTACAATTTAAACGGCTTTATTACTTATAGTTCCACAAGTAACTTTAGTTTTGTTGATCAAACTTTTCAAAATAAAATGTGAACTTAAATATTAATTGAGATGCTAAAGGATTTTGAAAATATCTTTAGTTTTGAAATAGTAATCTATATATATAATAATATTACATATGTGTGTTACTATCAATAACCGAAAATTATCTTAATATAATTTAAGTTCGTTAATAATTAATAATTTGCAGCAATGTAACATTTGTGTTAATGTTTCACTTTATGGTATGCATTAATTACATACCTATATATTCAGGTATATTCAGGTATATTCAGGTATGCATTAATTACATACCTATTGGCATATCAATATTGTTATTTATTTGTTCTGCATAATTTTACAATATCGAATTCGGAACGCATTAACACGGTATTCAAATATCCTTTGTTATATTGTAGGAATAGAAAATTAGGCCCAAGAGGATTACCTAACAACGTGGTTCTTTTACTCAATTGAGTATCTTTTTGCATTTTTTGTCGATATAGGTTCAAAAGAATGTTTAAAAGTTGCTAATTTTGAAAAACGTGGCTGTTACTTCTCCTCTTTATCCAAATAAAAAACATTTCACATATTATATATCTTTTGAAAAATTTACCTCGTTAAAAAACCATATAATAAGGTTTAAACTATATCCAACTCTACCAAACTATTCTTTATAAAATGCAAAATATGTATATATGTATATGATTGATGAATTTGACTAAATTCACGTATTAGTATGCATATGTGTATACATGTAAGGTTCTGTGAAACGAATCAATTTCCATATTTCTCGATAGTGTGCTGTCTTAAATTCCGTATGTATTTGCGATTTTCATGATTGCTAATATAGAAATTGAGTTTGTTACGATTTCAACTATGAGTATTGACTGTAATTGTGGTTTGGTATGTAAAGTTGTCATAACAGTTATAGCATTAAATTAATTGATTTATTATCAGTAACATTTGCGATTATTCATGTAGGAAAATTTTAGTCTGTTCAGTTTAGAATTTTAGATTTACTATCAAAAATATTCTTATCTCAATTTAATACAACAATGAATTCTCTTTTATATATAAAACGGGACCGCAAAAGTTCGTTTTATAAAACTCACACCACAGATAATAAAGAAAACTTGCTTAAAACATGTTATATGTACTGATAATCGGTCTACAATTTTATTGCTTTAGACAATTTTTATTGCCTCTATCTTTAGCTATGAATGCTAAATTAAAACCTATTAAATGAGGTAAAAAAAATTCATGTGAAGAACATTTATTTCATATACTTTAAAGCATCAAAGACGTTATTTCAATTTATTAGACAAATTATGTATTTTCAAACACATTTTTAAAACAAAATATTGAGATTTTCGAGAAATTTCTTGTTTTAAAAAAAAAATTTAAAAAAAAAAAACCAAAAATCTCAATTTGGATAGCATGTTCTCGAAAAATAAAGACCAGATGTATGTAATTATTTGCATAACAAAAACAAAATTCTGTGAATTATATTTCAAGGAAGCGTCTAATGGTTACTCCATGTTGCTCGACCGCGAAGTTATTAGCATTTATTTATAATCTGGTACCAATTTTTTTCAATAGGCTCTAGGTCGAAAAGGAGTACATC